GTCGTTATAATTTCTTATGTCTTTTATATATATTGTTAAATATTCCGTTTGTTGGTTTCTCTACTTCATTTTGGTTCGGCTTGATGCATTGGATTGATATCTTTTGATGTTGATTGGGTAGCCGTTCTTTTGAAAGATAGTCTTAAGATATCTTCTTCCAAAATATATGTAAAGGTGTATGAAAATGGTTATTTTGTCTGAAAATATTGTTTGATATACTCATTGTTGTCATAAACATTACAATAGTGAGCTTCAAAACCGAAATACTTCTGATACAGACAAATTATACTTAGCTATCAATCTGTATGTTGGTTACTAGGTGAGTGAGTGTCGTCCTCATTTGTGCTCCGGTTCATTTTCCGTCAAGTATATTTCACTACTGTCTTATTTATTTCTGGTTTGGTCAGTTTTGTCAATCAAAGGAAAATCTTTATTTACAGGCGAATATAGAGTCACTATATAATTGACTACAGTAATAAGTTTAGCGACTTTAAAAATTTTACTATTTACTTTGACCTGGATTTTACCCAATAATCTTCTGGATGTAAATCATTCTATTCCCAAAGTATTTTCTGCCTTATATTTTTCTTTAGGATATATTCCATATTTCGTGAATAGTGTGCACTGATCGTTTCTTTTGGGCATGGTGACAAAACCATCTCCTGATTAATACTGAAACCAATAACATTTCATTTAAATCACAAACCTGGTATAAAGAAATGTCATGAGACTGTGAAGCGTTCACAGTAATATGAATGCATTATAATTCACGGAATTAGCAAGTAATAAGATGGGTTACGTAATAATTCGTTTCCTTTTTTACAGTTATATAGCGATCTGTTAAAGTACCCTGTCACTTATCCACGCTTACTTGGTCCTATTCAAATTCTACGTAACCCAACTTATCAATTTTTAAATGCATGGATCCTTTATAACCTATAAAATTTTCACACCACTTATACGTCTGTGAACTCTACTCGACCCACCCACCCTTAATGTATCCTTTCTTCTATAAATAAATGACCTTTGACCTGCATATATGCATATGTACTTTGTTATTATTGATGACCTACTTTATTTCAACTATTTATATTTACTTATATCAACTGCTTCATACCTAAATGTTAAATTGTAATGCACATTTCGTTGTAAGCAGCTGAGAAGAAACCACAAAATATAATGAATGCCTATTCAGTAAGACTTTACGTCCTTCTTAATTCTTACAGACACTGACTCGTGGACAATATCCCCAACAACGAAGGAATGAAAGGAAAACGAAAATTATGAAGTACTTTATTTAACTTTTTAGCATAAAAACTTGTTTACAGGTTATCATTAATGATTCTTAAATAATAACTGTTCACTTTCTTCTCAAATTCCGTTGCGAAACTTTCACCATACTTCCATAGGATATGACGCCTGTTAATTTTTTGGCTTCGCAGAACACTTATATACTCATTTCTTTGTGTCGATAGTGCTATTGATGTGTCATTTCGCAAGTTATTGGTAACACGTAACTTCCACCTGCAGTACCTAAGAAGTTCATTAGCTATACAGTTTATATTTCAAAATCAATATAGCTTACCTGAAAGAGTTCGTCTTTTAAAATATACGAGTAGCAGATGGCGGCATGTGTATCGACACATAAGAAATGTACTACATTCACATTCAAAAGTATTTAGATCCACTGCATAAAGCTTCCCGCAATCAACAATAGACACCGTCTCCGGCTTCATATCCCACAGAAACAAAACGCATATGTTTAAGTTCGTATAAAACTTTAGCTCGCGCGTATGGCGTAAGCATTTTCAACACTGTGTGTGATACGGACAGCCGCGCTTTCTGATCTTGCACAGTCCATAACAAATGTTTCTGTCCGTCTTGTTGTTCCCATGATTTCTTTAAAATTGTCTAGAATCCAGGTGACATCTGCACGCATTTCCTTTAGCGTCCAGGCAAACATGACCGTACGTCCTCGACCAAAGTTTTCCGTCACAACCAACTGAAATAAGGAATATCTACAAAATAGAATACAAGCAAAAGAACAATCACTTCTTATTATTGGTATTATAAGTAGAATCAATGCAAACAACTTCCGGATATTCATTGTACAAGTGCATTTGGTCATAACTACTGAAACATATTCTCGTTACATATCCATTTTCTAAATGTTTCCTAACTTCACCTTTCTGTCGCAGCAAATCCATAACATTTTTACGCGTACAACAACCTGAAATATACTTTTATACACTTACCTGTGGAGAGTTCAGCTTTCATAGACTTGACATCAACAACAGTGACCACCTTACCAGTTCTCTCATTGACACATTCTATAAATTCATCAGTTGACTGCGACTGCAAAATGACTGGCTTTAAATTCTTTTTTCTTCCGATGGTAATCTTCTTGTCCATGGATCACAAACCATCCATGAACTACTACATGGATGATTGTGGAGCATCTTGTAGGATTTGATGACATATCCTTCCGCCTCCAGTCTTACACGGAACTTTGATTGACAATTAAGGAATTTAGACCTTAAACGTCACATATCAGATAAAGTTCTCACGATTTTCGATTCACTTTCAAACCTTCTGATTTCCGCTTATGACCAAATGTACAATGAAAAGCAACAAACAGGTACTTGAACCTGACATCCTTCAGCAACCTGCTTTCTGCGTGGATGTAATGAGTGCACGTAGTCTGAGAAATGATAAAATCACTCTTCCATACTTTTAGGGCGTTATCAAAGTCATCACTACGGAATGCCTGAGAAGATAGTTAACATCACACGAAATTCCTATGATAGATTAAACTGCAAAATCGTGCATAGAGGACAACTGACAGACTCGTTCGAGGTAAAGACTGATGTCAGGTAACGTTGCTTACTCTTACCCTTTCTCTTTCTCCTGGTGATCGACTGGGTTATGAAGACGTCAACATCTGAGGAGAAGCATGGGATACAATGGACAACAGCTGGACGGGCTGAACTTCTCCGATGCTACAGGAATTCTATCGCACACGCAACAACAAACGTAGGAGACTGCCCGTGCAGCAGCAGCCTCAGCAACAGTGGGCCTCAACATACACAAAGGAAAAATCAAGATTCTCCGATACAATTCAGCATGCAACAATCGAATCACGCTGGAGGGAGAAGATTTGGAAGACGTAAAAGCCTTTACATATTTGGGCAGCATCATTAATGAACACGGTGGATTTGATGCAGGTGTTAAGGCGCGGATCGGAAAAACAAGAGCAGTATATTTACAATTGGAGAACATCTGGAACTCAAAACAACTGTCTACAATTGAACACGAAAGTCAAGATTTTCAATACAAATTTCAAGACAGTTCTACCGTAGGTGGCGTAAACTTGGATAACCACGAAAGCCATCATCCAGAAGATACAAGTGTTTATTAACAGTTGTCGACCCAAAACACTTCGGATCCGTTGGCCAGACACTGTCAGCAACAACCTACTATGTGAGGAAACAAACCAGATTCCAGTGGAGGATGAAATCAGGAAGAATTGCTGGAAGTGGATAGTACACACATTGAGGAAAGCACCCAACTGCGTCACTAGGCAAGTACTCACATAGAATCCTCAAGGTAGAAGGAGGAGAGGAAGAACAAAGAATACATTACGCCGAGAAATGGCAACAGACATGAGAAAAATGAAAAAAATTTTATAGAACTGAAAGAAAGGTATCAGTAAAGATAGGGTTAAGAACGCTGGTAGGTGGCTAATGCTTCACTGGGGGTAACAGGAGTACGCAAGTAAGTAAGAAAAGCATTGACGCAGGCGTCTTAAATAGAACATACTTCAGAGTGTGTCTAAAAGGTTGAGATTAGTAATATATTGATACGTGAAGAAAAGCGTAGACACAAGCAAAGCACTAAAGCTGTCAGGAAGCAACCAAAAATAAAACTCAATAACACAGTTGTTTGGGTAGAACACCACATCGGCATTTTGTCAACTAGTCACGACTCACAATATCGCGCATTTGATGGGGCTAAATTATTAGCCAGTCAAGGATGGAAACTAAGGAACATATTACGTCGGGAAATAGAAACAGATAAAAAAGGATGAATAAAAACTGGAAATAAGTTGGAAGGGCTGTCCATGTCTGGGTTAGATGGGGAGCCCTGATGGGCGGCCTATGCTACTCCACGAGAAGTAACAGGAGTATGTAAGAATGGACACTGGATAAAGCAGCATCAGAGAAATGACCGCAATCTTCAGCCGGTAAATTCTCGGGAAAATAAACGCAGTTTCATAGCCAGTCTCTATCAATTCGAGAGTTAGAATACACTTTAAAAAATACGTATAGAACATGATTCAAGGAGCAAGAACATAGAGTACATCCTGTTATGTCTGATCATGTTGTGCTCACCAATGACACTACAGCTACCTAGGATGAATAGATGTCAAAAGATGTATTCATCAAATAAAATATGACTCAGTGAAAAGACTTGTCCGAAAGCCTTCATTGGGTTGTTACAACAGTAAAAATGAGATTTTCAAACGTTTACAAAGTAAAGGACCTAAGGAAAACAGATAGCACTGAACACAGATCAGGATTTCGTAATTTAAAAAGTTGAGCATTTACACCAATACACTATTCCACAGGGAGAAATCAATTCTCTGACTTCAGATTCAGGGCTAATCCTCAGTCTAGGAGATGGTCATAAGTGGAAACTGACCCGAAATAGTCTACCACAGCCTCTGCTTTTTCCTGGTCTTCCTCCATTGACTGAGATTCATACCCTACTGTAATTGCGTTGAGGAATCAATGGCGCGTCCTTATCCTGTGATTTATGTACAACAACAGTCTCTCTGACTGCCTGGTTCCAGATTGTGCCAACCTATTTCCACATTTTTACTGAGCTACCTGGGTTGTACTTCTACACTTATCTCTGACCGACCTGAAGAGTTCCATCGTATTTGCTGTACCAAGGCTGATGGCAACGCTACAAAACGTTTTCTTTCATCTTGATGATCGTCGAATCTCATGATCCATCCACAAATGACAGTGATTCTTCTTCTCTAGAACTGTCAGTATGTAAATAGCTGAGTTACATGACTGCAATTATGAGACCATGTCACTCCTACTGATGAGATCATATTTTATTTATTTTTAAATCTGCCTTGCTGCGAAAGCCTATTCTCATATCACCAGTTTCTGATGCATGGATTACTAGATTCATTGAGAGTTCAATTTGTTTTAACCATCTTATTCGGAAGTTCCAGAAATCAGTATATATATACGTCAGCTGTTTACGCAGTATTTATTATTGTATTCGAAAATACTCACGAAATGCAGATATTTGTAAAGACTTTGACTGGTAAGACGATCACGTTGGAGGTGGAGCCTAGTGATACTATTGAGAATGTGAAAGCGAAGATCCAAGACAAAGAAGGTATTCCTCCTGACCAACAGCGTTTGATATTCGCTGGTAAACAGTTGGAAGATGGACGTACTCTGTCTGACTACAACATCCGCAAAGAGTCGACTCTGCATCTTGTCCTTCGTCTACGTGGTGGAATGCAGATATTTGTAAAGACTTTGACTGGTAAGACGATCACGTTGGAGGTGGAGCCTAGTGATACTATTGAGAATGTGAAAGCGAAGATCCAAGACAAAGAAGGTATTCCTCCTGACCAACAGCGTTTGATATTCGCTGGTAAACAGTTGGAAGATGGACGTACTCTGTCTGACTACAACATCCAGAAAGAGTCGACTCTGCATCTTGTCCTTCGTCTACGTGGTGGAATGCAGATCTTTGTGAAGACGTTGACTAGTAAGACGATCACGTTGGAGGTGGAGCCTAGTGATACTATTGAGAATGTGAAAGCGAAGATCCAAGACAAAGAAGGTATTCCTCCTGACCAACAGCGTTTGATATTCGCTGGTAAACAGTTGGAAGATGGACGTACTCTGTCTGACTACAACATCCAGAAAGAGTCGACTCTGCATCTTGTCCTTCGTCTACGTGGTGGAATGCAGATCTTTGTGAAGACGTTGACTGGTAAGACGATCACGTTGGAGGTGGAGCCTAGTGATACTATTGAGAATGTGAAAGCGAAGATCCAAGACAAAGAAGGTATTCCTCCTGACCAACAGCGTTTGATATTCGCTGGTAAACAGTTGGAAGATGGACGTACTCTGTCTGACTACAACATCCAGAAAGAGTCGACTCTGCATCTTGTTCTGCGCCTACGTGGAGGCATGTGGATTTTGTTAAAGTAAAATTAAAAAAAATAAATTTCAGTTAGATTTTATTTCTAAATGTAGTTCTGTTTTCGCGAGGTCCTGATGATGTTAGTCTGTTGTGTTGTATCAGGTAGTGCATTTTAGGGGTGTAATTTGATCGATGGATATTCGAGCTTGTACAGATTTCAGCTAAGTCATTCACGGTTTAGTCATGTTGTAGAACGAGTTGTTTGGACACAATGTGTTTGATGACATAGGTATTAGGAGTTGTACCATATTGAGTAGGGATACGTGTTCAAAGATTTGTGGGAAAGTAATCGCGAATAAAGTGATTGTCATACTACAACCGAGTTCGTGACATTACTTAGTTCTTTACTGTAGATATTGACCGCATATCAGACTTTAGTTTGTATGTCCAACCCACTATTAGCGTCTTCTCCTAGTTCCCGTTACAGATGGATGCAGGTTTGTTCGCTACCGCAGTAAGCTGTTGCTGGTGGTATCCGGCCAACGGACAATGAGTATGTTGTAGGAAATTGCTTATAAATACCTGTACGCTTTTGATGGTGGTTGTAATAGTTCTCGGAGTTTAAGCTCTGTACAGTGGAACTGTCTTGATATTCGTATTGAAGATTCTGACTTTGATATTGGTTTATAGACAGTTGTTTTGAGTTCTATATGTTTCTCAAATGTAGGAATGCTGTCCTTGCTTTGCCAAACCTCCCCTTTGTATCTGCATCAGGTCATCCTTGTTCATCGATGATGCTTCCCAGGTAGGTGAAAGAACGCATCTTCCAGAGTTTCTGCATCAAGTATAATTGGGTTTGTGTTCTCCGTGTTGCATTTGAGGATCGTAGTTTTTCCCTTGTGTATGTCGAGGTCTGTTGCTTCAGAGACTGATGTTACACTGGCTGTCTTGATATACATTTGTTGATGTATACGGTATGGAAAGGCCAGGTCATCTGCGAAGTCTGAACCGTCCAGTTGCATCCAACCTGTCCATTGAATTTCGTGACTCCCTTGAGATGTGGAGATCTTCATAGTCCAATTAACCACCATAAGAAACAGAAAGGACGAGAATAGGTAGTCTTGTTTGACTCCGGTCCTTACTTGGAATGCGTCTGTTAGCCGTCCTACATGCAACACTTTGCACTGTAGTCCGTCGTATGAAGTCCGTATGATGTTGACAATGATCTCAGCTACTCACTACACAGTGTGGAAGAAGTTTCCATAAAGTCCTCCTACACACACTGTTGAATACTTTCTCGTAGCCAAGGAAGTTGATGTATAGCGACGAGTTCCATTACCCCGAAATCTCCTTGAATAGAACGTGGAGTATGTTCGAAGTTACTTCTATATCTGTCTGCAGTAACAGCAGACAACTGTTCAAACTTGTCAAGGAGCAGCAGGCTCTGACAGGTTTAGCCCTGAGATTTTTAAGGATAGCAGTCAAGTATTGGCAGTGAGATTGACTGAGGTTGTAGGTAGAGACAGGGAACGGGTCGTAATCCCGTTTGACTGGTCTCAACTACTGATTGTGCAAGTCTATAAGAAAGGACAAATGTCCCAATGTAACAATAACGGAGGAATCAGTATGACTAATATATTGTACAAAATATTAGCTTCAATAATACTTCGACGCCTAAGTAAAGTTCGTGAAGAGACAACTAGAGAAAAGCAGGCTAGTTTCAGACTTGGACGTGGCTATATAGACCAGATAATAACACTTCGCTTTGATGATTCTGGATACATGAGATTCTCATTCTATAAGTGTTTTCCATGCTTCTTTGGATAGCATCAAAACAACTCCCTGAGTGTGTGGAGCGTTTTCTTCTTCATGACCAGAGTACAACAGCATCTGTAGCAATTCCTACAGTAAGTAGTTCTGTTAGGCTTTAGTTTCTTCTCAAAAGTTTCACTGATGAAACTGATATGACTTGTCCGGATAGAGGAAACTATCGATGACTACTTTGAGAAAATGGAGTCCTATCTTGAGTGTGTTTAATTGTGAGTCTTTTTATCTTTTTGTGAAGGCGTCAGGGATGACTAATCTGAAAGCTAACAAGAAGGTAGATATGTCAGCACATAACTGATCGTTAAGGGTACGAAATTTCAATGTAACCTGGTCTCACATTTGATTATAAGGTAGGGAATTTAAGTGTTGTAATTTCTTATGATGCGAGAAACTGGTCAGGACTTTTACTGTGTTATTACTTACTTGTTAGACATGCTCGAGAGTGTCAGTATCTTTAAAAAGACATGGATTAGCTGCTTGAATGCAGTATTTTAGGGCAAGTGTTAGGTGAGTGGAGTATGAAGTCTGAAATATATTTCCGTCAAGGCATCTAAAGATTTTGCGACACCATTTAGCATCTGTTGCATTGTTGCCGGGCCATGCCATCCGATCAACTCGGAATAATCCAATTCATCGTTCTCACCTTTCTCATTGTCAGGATTTTCTTCGCGTTAAATGTTGAATTTTTATTTCCCATACTGTCTCTTGTTAGGGCCCAATGCCACTAGAGGTTGTCTCTCTGACAACTTTATTGAAATGCGTAACTCCATATGCAGTAGAGCTAATTGTTGTATCGTAGTTTAAAATCTCACTGCACCATACATCAAGTGGTTGGAGCTTGCAACTTCGGGTTTGTGATTTAATAGCAATCTACGTTATGCTCTTTGTCACAAAACCGGCATAATTTGACCTTGAACACAAGCTAATGTCATCGAAACATGAATGTTACTTAGAAATATGGATGTTACTCTGTCGTGAGAAAAATGTCCCTTAGAACGTTTTTTCAAATTGATCAGTGCACTCTCATCACATGTGAAAGTAACTTACAAGAATTAAGCTGGACACAATTACCCGTCAATTTTATGTTCGCTTAGTTAAATCTATGCTTAACTTTATATCAACAAATGATTGTGTCTATCGATCATGGAATTTTAATTGTGACTCCCTATATTTTCGATAAATCATGAGTTGAGCCAAAAAACGTTTGACCTGAACAAAAAGTCGCGAAATAATCCGGCAAAAGTTGAGACTCCAAATAGCATGCCCTTTTCAGAATACCGTGAAAATTCACGAAAGCTCTTCAACTACAAAGAGAGACTGGTAGCTAAAGCTTTCTATCCATTGCTAAATCTTACCGTCCCCCAATAAAAAAGAAGGCCTTACTACTCACCGAGCTTGGACCATCTATCTAAGATGTCATGTCTGATTCTACTTACATCTCCAGTCTTCAGTAATAAGGATAGTAGGTCGGTGAACCTATGTTAATCCTAACAGATTGCCTTCCAGTGAAGGTCCAGTTTCTCCTTGAAAATATTCACTGATGGAGCTGATACCACTTGTTCGGGCAAGGCGTTCCAATCATTGACTACTCGATGAGGAAAACGGAACCCCACTTTAAGTTTATTAGATCGCGGTTTATGGACCTTTTTGCTATGACCTCGGAGATTATTAGTGCTGGAGGGAGCGAAAAGATAAGACGTATTAACACCCAAATCATAATTAAAGATACGAAATGCCAGTATAAGGTCACCTCGAGTCCTACGATACGACAAGGGGAAAAGGTTTAGGCATTTTAAACGCTCATCGTAAGGGAGTTTAGAAAGACCCTTCACTAATTTTGTTCCCACACACTGGACACGCTCAAGTGAGTTAGTATCCCTTACCAGACATGGGCTAGCTGCTTGGATACAGTACTCTAAATGTGGTCTTACATAAGTGGGATATAAAATTCGAAACATTCCCTCGTCAAAGGATTTGAACGCTCGGCGAAGTGACCATAACGCTCGTAAACCTTTGGCAGAGGCTGCGTTGCAATGCGTAGTTGTTTTTAGGTCATCAATCACTATTACTCCTAAGTCTTTATGTTCTTGAACGCATGGAAGAGGTTTACCATCAATAGTATAATGGTAAATATTGCCGTGACCGATGTGCATTAGCAAACTCTTCCTAGAATTTATTTCTAAACCCCAACCTCCAGCTCATCTAACTAAATCGTCTAAGTCAGCTTGAAGATCCAGATGGTCAGCCTCACTTTTTATTGTTCTCCAGATTTTTACGTCATCCGCAAATAATAATGTAGACGACCTAAGCAACAGCGGTAACTCGTTAACGTAGAGAAGGAAGAGCAGACGGCCTAAGATGGTGCCTTGGGGTACACCACTTTTGACCGGCTTCCGATCAGATGGCGTCCCATTGACCCTTGTAGAATTATGGTCTACTATGATATTAGCACTGCTCTAATAATAGACCTAATCCTAAAATTGTAGATTTATCATGATGTAACTGCCTAATCTATAAGATCTTACGTGGAAGTTACATCATCGTCTACATCAACTCATTGCACTGTAACAATTACCAATACGTGATAGAGAACAAGCTTAGGCTAGAGATGGAACAATATATTTAATATGAATAAAAGACATAAGATAACATTCAGCAGGGATCACGCCTGCAATGCCGGGCCATGCCATAAGATTAACTCATATTAATTCGATTTATTCTCCCGGCCTTCTCCATTCTTCTGTATTTCTCCGCGTTAAATGTTTAATGTCTATTTCTCATATTGTCTCGTTGTAGGGCCCAATGCCACTACACTACTCTCTCACCAGAATCAACGATATGTTGGTTCGATACCAAATTGTGTGGGATTGTCGCGCGCCGGAGGTTAGCACGAATAATAAGAATCTTTTGAATATTGATGAACTGAAAGATAAATCAAAAAGAAGGCGGTAGCATCTGGTCGGGAAACACAAGTAATAATTTTAAAGTGTCTGGTTTAATGCTTTACACGCTTAAAATGAAAACTTGGGCGGAGATTATTTGAGCTAAACAAAGCGGGATTACAATTATAATGAAATGACTCCGTATAGGGATATTTTGATAAGTCGCCGTAAGGTACGTAGTAAAAGCCGTAGGTTAATAACATTTCCTGTTTAGAAATATTAAAAACAATATTGTAGAAATGTTAAAACTGGTATTATATTTGGTCTAAATTATGAAATC